AGCCCCGCCCCTCCGTCTCCCAGGTGACACAGGTGAGCGCGGGGGGAGCCAGGTGTGTGCTGTAACATCCTCCTTTGGGATTTTCTCCTGCTACAAATAATCCCAGGATGACGAAGGTAAAACTGTAGCAAAAACACAACTATTAATTTGTCCGTGTCGAAGCTAAATCTGTGTCGTTACAGTTAAATTAAATAAAATAAATTCTCTCCGTGGAAAATAAGCAGGTGACGTCACCAAGAACAACGAGCATTTAATAAATAAATGAAAGTCTAAAAATGGAAAAAATTTTGACAAACTTTGGACTAAATGGGACTCATACCGTAAAATAATTTAAATTTTAATGTAATTTATAACATAGAATGCAATTTGTCTAATTTTTTCACTCTGTGTCATGTTCAATGTTGTGTTTTAGCGATGTTTATCTTTGTAGAAATGCTGAAACAAAAAATAAAACCACCATAAGAGTTCGTAAGAGTTACTCAAATGTGTGAATGAAACAAAACAACTCCAGGTCTGTTTTTAAGGAGGACACAACATTTTAACATGACTTAATCCTCACAAGAGTCCGTTTTGAGTTGATCAGAACGTCGTCTCAAAAACATTTATTCTTTGTAAGTTTTTCCACCAGACAATGTGATTAATTTCCTGTTCTGTTGGTTCTGAAGTTTCACGTCTTTACAGCTCTTAAACCCAGCGTGAGGCGTTTGATTTCACCGGACTTCACCTGGTTTAGTGCAGCTACGTTTTAATGCGTCTTTTTAATGTGTTTTTCTCAGTCTGGGCATCAGAAGTATGTGGGGGGAAAAAAAAATAAATCAAACATCAAAACAGCCACTTCAGTGTCCCAGCGGGGCTACCGTAGTCATCGTAAAAAACAGGTAAATATGTAGGCCGCTAAATTACTTCAATAAATAATTCATTTGATTAAAAAGTGATTGTTTGTGCGAAAAACTGGAAAATTCTAGCTTTTTCCTCATCAAAAACACGTCTGGAGAGGTTTTAGAGTCGTCCGTGCAGGTCTGAGTAATCTAGAGATCTTTTCAAACTCTCTTTATGGTTAGAAGTACGAGTCTGTGCGAGGCTCCGCCCACAAGCCTACATCACCCAAGCCCCCCGCACAAAAATTCTATGTAAATATACAAAAAACGTGACTCAAAACTTTAACTACGACTTCACAAACCCGACGCGAACGTGCAGTAGTTTCGTTAGCGGGACGCACGGTGAGTGTGTTGTGATAGCGCTCTGAGGGGGGAGGGACTCAGCACAGAGAGCAAATGGAGAGGAGACCGAGAGCAACAAAAACAAACTAAAACTGATAAAACATATTAAGATATTTAGTAGTAGTAGTTGCAGTAATAGCTAGAATAGTACTCGTAGTGCATATGTAGTAGTAGTAGTTGTTGTAGAAGTAGTTGCAGTAATAGTAGTAGTAGTAGTAGTAGTAGTAGCAGCAGTAGCAGCAGCTGCAGAACAAGAATTAGTAGTAGTGGTACAGTAGAAGTAAAAGTAGTAGTAGCAACTGAAGCAGTTGTAGAAGTAGTAGTACTAGCAGTAATAGTTGCAAATGAAGATGTAGTAGTAGCAGCTGTAGTAGTTGGGTAGTAATGTGGCAATTGAAGTCGTAGTAGTACAAGTAGCCAAAATTATAAATATATATTATAAATATATGTATTATATATAGGTTATACAGTATTATACCAAAACAGAAAAAGACATTTTCATTTTGGTCATTATTGGCTGAACTATCAGAGCACAACGCACAGCCAAGCGCAGTTTTACGCAAATTTACCCAAGTTTACGCAGCAGCACAACTTGATCCACCGCTCACACCCAGCCCCAACAACACAACGGTAACACAACGCAACGTAACACAACACAAGGTAACACACCGCACACCCATCTCCAACAACACCAGCAAAACTACAATAAGAGGCTATGGTCACAACATGAACACACGACATCAGCGCTGCTCCTACAGCACACGGCAGAACAACAGCAGCTCCACCGCACCCACCAGCTCATTTACACACTATTTAACTATAACATTATAACTAGGGCTGGGCAAAAATAAAAAAATTTAATCGCGATTAATCGCATGAGTTTGAGCGATTAATCGCATATTATACGCAAAACCAATTAATGAATTAAAAAGTAGAGTATAGCTGCACTTTTATTGGAAATGTAAATGAAAGAGCCAAACATTTCTTGTGCAAACAGCATTTCTTTCACGGGGGAACCTCAGAGCCTTCAAGGTTTTCAGGGAAGGCTCAAGAAAAAATATTGAATGGACGTTTGTACTACTAATATATTTATTGAATATTTTTTATGCTGTGAGTAATGAACACGACACTAGTAATAATTTCTCGATCAGTGTTTTAAACTTGGACTGATATTTCTTAGGAAACAAAGGGTTAATATAATGGAATGGAAATGGACCAATCACAGTTTTTCTTCCAGTGGTATCTGGGTAAATCAGTGACTCCAGCACTGAACTAAAGAAATAATATCAGCTCAGAGCCGGAGCCCGCGGCTGAGTCCGCGACTGAGTCCGCGGCCGGAGTCGGAGCCTGCGGCCGAACTCGCGGCTGGAGCCGCGGCTCGCGGAGGCTTGGACACGTTGCATCTCACGTGGTCAGAAAAAAGTGAAAAAAGTGTAAAGAAAAGACGTCAAACTTAAAGAAACTCTCGCGGTGGACTTTTTCAAAATAAAAGCCAGTGAGAAACAGACGTTTACAATAAAATAAATAAATAAATAATAAAAACTGCGTTAACGGCGTTAAAATAATTGTCGGCGTTAATGACTTAATTAGTTAACGCGTTAACGTGCCCGGCCCTAATTATAACACCTGTGAGGCTCCATCTTCATATTTGCTCCAAACAAATGAAAACAAGCCTCTTACCTTCTCCAGAGACTGAAGCAGAGTGTTTCCTCTGTCCGCTGTCTCACTGGTTCTGTCTCCAAAAGTTTATTGTCCAATATGAAGAGATCAAACTGGTCCAAATCCTGGTCCAGTCAGGTCCGTGACTCGAGGTCCAAGAGCCGAGTGCACGAGCTGATTGTAAAATCAGTCTTAATCTCACTTCCCACTTAAATCTGAAAATTACACCAGTCCATGTGAACACCAGGTAGAATTATGCCTCTGCGCGCTACGCCCAGTGACACTTTTACACCGAGAAACACGTGGGCAAAGACGGACAGAGCAGCGAGAGACTGTCCCTGGCTCCGGCAGAGAGCGGGTCCTGGGTCCTGGGTCCTGGGTCCTGGGTCCTGGGTCCTGGGTCCTGGGTCCTGGGTCCTGGGTCCTGGTCCCGGCGGCGGCTCTGTCCTCGCGCTTTACTCTGAACATGTTGAAGCTAAAGTCGCTAGCCGCCATTAGCCAGTGTGTGAATCAGAATCAGAGCCGTAGTATCTCACCGCAGCTCATTCCAGTTTAATGCTTCTTTTCTTGTTCTTACTCCCTAAAACTGTTCCTCGGACGAACTTTTCGAAATCTCCATAAATGTACAGCACACGCTCTGTTGTTCTCGGAGAGGGGACTTTTATTTTTTTATTTTTTATTCGTATTAGCCATATTAGCCGTGCGGCCGTCACCGGAGCTGAACTGTGACCGGTGTAGCCCACGGAGCCGCCCCGTCGCCTAGCAACCGAGACACTTTGCTAATGCTAATGCTAACAACACGTACCACGCAGATGACGCACGGGTAATCAAACTGTTGGAATTTCAGACCAAGTTATTCTAATAATTCTCATCCAAATCTTATGGCTAAAAACGATAACTTATGTTTAACTTTTGCAAAACAAAACGGTATTTCTGGACATCTAAATAGACAAAATTGCCTTAAGGTTTCAAAAACTGATGAGATTATTATTATTAATAAAGTATTTTTAAATTGATAAAGGATTACATTTATACCGGGGATGTATTATGTCAGTTTATAAAGAAACGTCTCTGCTTTGAGAAAAGATGATTTATTAAACAATCAAAGGATTATAAATACTGTAAATACTTTATCATAATGTGACTAGTCAAACATTAAACCCATTACACAAACACAAACACACTCTGCATTAATAGGTGAGTACAAACAGCTGTATGTCAGTGTAACTCTCAAAGAGTTGCTCCCATTTTGCTGAAGCAGAAAAAAAAAATCCAAAATATGATCAGGTGGAATACCACTGCTTAACTGCAGTACAATAGTACATTCTTATAGTACATGTAATTAGTTACTTTCAAAAGAGACAGAAAGTAAATGGCACATTTCATCATGAATCAAACATCAGTACAGACTGAAAAACATTCAGAAAAACTTATTATGAGCAACTTCTATGACTAGTTTTGTCTCATACACTTGTTAAGGTCATATAAGGACACATTTATCATGGACACTTCCTCAGTGATAAAGATGTTTAGGTGCTCCTCAGCCAAGACGAACAGAAACCACCATTTTACTGTTTCACTTCTGGAGGAAATTAGACGTTAAAACCTAATCTTTATGGACACATCACTATTAGGACACATTAGGAACAGCAGCAAACAGAATGTGCAGGAGGGAGGCCTGATGCAACCAGAGGCTCCACAGGTCTGCAGTCTGGACCTCCTCCTCCTCTGTGAGTCTGGACATGGACAGTGGAGACATGACCAGTGGACTTGGATCAGTCTGATGTATCTCTCGTGTTCTGGAGGAGGAAGAGCAGAATGGGCCTTAAGTCTGACTGGTTGAAATGTCTGTCTGCAGAGTGAAAACCTGTAATGACAAGCACATTAAGAAAACTATTACATAAATCCAAACAGCTAAATCTCACACATTTGAGAAATGTGTATTTTCAGAAAATTAAATAATGATTTCAACATGAGCCTGATTCATTTGCAGCCCTTATTATTATTGGAGTTTTCAATGTAACATGTCCCAGACCTAAACAGAGGCAGGAGTCTGGGTCACACCTCCAGCTCAATGTTGGCTTTTCTTTGTCATCTGCATTTGACCATTTCATGAATCAT